CGGAAGTTCCACAGGAACTTAAGGAAGCATTTTTTCACTGTGAGGGTGACAAAGCACTGGAACAGGCTGCCCAGAGAGGTTGTGGAGTCTCCTTCTTTGGAGATCTTTAAAACCCGCTTGGACGCAGCCMTGTGCCACGTGCTCTAGGTGACCCTGCATGAGCAGGGGGGTTGGACTCGATGACCTCTGAGGTCCCTTCCAACCTTCGGCATTCTATGATTCTATGATTATGCCATATTACGATACAGGTAGACCTGATAGTTGCCAAAATATTAGTTACTATGTTCCTTTTTTCTCCATGTGAAGGAGAAATTTGGAAGGAAAAACAAACAAACAAACAAACAAATAAACCTACATAAGGTGTGTTGAAAAATTCCTCCACTTGGGATGAACCACTTGTGGTCCACTTGTGATCATCTTGATTATTAACCCAGACATCACTGAAGTGTTCAAAGCTTTATTAGGGTAGGCAAGTTCAGAAACTTAATGCATGCTAAACGGTTATGATTACAGTTCAATAAAGTGTTTTACAGTCAATAGTTTTTTAATTCAAAATGAATATTTCACAAGAACATAAGATCTTATGTTCTAATGTAGTATAAAATTAAACAAAGAACAATATTTAAGAAGCGCTAGTCTGTAGAAACTGTAAATTTCTACCTTGCTGATTTGTGATTTGATACATATACCACAAATACTATATGAAAACAGATACATCTGTATTATTCTTTAGCAGTCTGAGTAAATAAAATGTTGCATAATGTTATGATTGATGGTTAACTTAGAAAATAATGAATTTGGAACAACAGAAGAGAGATGAAATGAAGGGAGGAGAGTTTCATAGCAGAGGAAGAAGAACTATCATGAGCTGTGCTAGGAGAAACAGACCTCCTCCTCATTAGGACATTGCTAGATTTCAATAGAAGTTTTATGGCAATTCTGTCCTGCCAGAAAATTTGAATTTCCTGACGAGTAAATCTCTCATAAACAAATGTCTCAGCATTTCTTTAAAACTCATTGTAGGCAATTTCTTAGCTCTTATTTATATTTTTTTTTTAAACTCAGAGATATTTTAGCATAACTTGATTTAAAAGATGCCTTACTATAAACCATAGTTATTTTAGGGATAGAAATAATCTCTCAAAGTTTTGGACTGTGATACTCTAACTTAGAATGTACTAACAGTCTGTTTTATAGAAATTTTACAGACTGGCATAGTTTTTCTAGGTAGAAAACATTTTGTTCAATACTCACCTCTCTTCATTAAAGAATAAGCTTCATCTATTCTCCTTCTTATTGATGGATTCTTCAAGGTCACTTTTGCCTGTTGCATGCGCGCACACACACACAAAATATGATTTTAATTTTCCCCCATATCTGACACTTTAATAATGAAGACATCTACTTACAAAATGACAGTAACAACCACAGAGTATGATATTCATGAATTTTAGAACTAAAATATGGCTTACACATTACATTTGGGTAAACAATCACAAACCACATCAAGCCACAATTTCATGTTGTTTAACATGACCTGAGCAAATGATTACAATTAAAAACTGGAATTGCTTCTATAAATTGTATTTTTATTTCTTTAAAGGTTATTCTATTCTTTACAGGATAATAAAAGTAATGCTACATTTTTTCCTTCAAATGCAATCTTTTTTAAAGCAAAAAGTGTTTAGCAAATACTAACCTTCTGATAATTGTGAAGCAAAGCCCAAAGTGAGGCTGCACCAATTCTCTGAACATCAATACTCTCATTTTCCAAACAGGCAGATAACACACTGATAGCTTTATCTAATGAGAAAAAAAAAAGAATAAAAAATTACCTATCAAAAAACATCAGAAGTATACAAAAGTATTTACACTTGTGAGTATTTTTATGACTGGAGTATGCTTATTTCTATGATATCTATAACAGATACTGGGATGGAGCAGCAACTGCAGAAATTATTAACTTAGATTAACTGAATATGCCTGTATATGTAAACACACTTCATTGTACTTAAGTGTTAATAAATAGAAGCAAAAACAAATAATTTCAAAAAAAAAGCACCATAAATAATAAAACATGTACATGTATGTATAGTTGGTATCTATGAATAAGTCATTTTCATCACTAAGTCCTTTTCATGAAAAACTGCTTTACAATTCCCAGTAACTGCAATTACGGCCACATTGGGATAAAGAATAAATGTTGCTTTTTTCACTTAGTAATTACTAGGAAGGTGATTTGTAAGTAATGAGAAATTCGCCACTCCACTTGAGGATGCTCAATTTCCTAGATTCACTGTTCTGCTTGTTCAAGCCTGCTTGTTCACTTCATAAAATTCAGCAGGTGATATAAATGAATAATGTGTACTTAATTAATGCAGTGAATCATCATTAAAAAAAAAGGACAATACAGAAGACCTAGGTAGAACTTAAAGAAGAAAAGTCTTCTTTGCAATTAAACGAAGAAAATAAATATGGCTTTTCCAGACAACCCAGTAGCACATCATGGAGTGAACCTATGTTGCTAAGCATAGGCACTGAAGTCACTACCAAAACTACGATCTCTTGGAACTAATAAGGTTCTGTCCAACTGAAAGATAGGAAATTAGGTGGTAAAAATACTACAATTTATAAACTAGCCTATTTCATCATGACTGAAAGAATTCTTCAAATCTTCCTCTGAAAAAAAAAAAAAAAAAAAAAAAAAAAAAAAAAAAAAAAAAACACACCCTGCAGCCATGCTTTATTACCTATTCAAATGATCAGTTTTGGAATAAAACCTGAAAATGTGTTAATTATCTATTTGCTTTTTATTTTTTGCTACATATTCATATATTTCTGTCAAAATAAAATTTCTATAATCACTTCTATGTTGATAATGAAAATTATTTTTATAAATATCCAACTTGCAATGAAAATATGGTATTTTTTGACATGCTCAAAGTTCAGTTTCAATACTTTCCGGACACTTACCATTAGCTAATATCTTGGGCTTATTAGCTGCACTAAAACACATATTATGTAAAATAAGAAGTGCTATATGCTGATTGCTCTTGTGCTTATATTTACACATCTCCACAATCTGGTCTAATGCACCATTGGTCTTCATAATCATTTGTTGTCCATCTTCTCCCAAAGATATATTCAGTAGCAGTTTTAGCCAAAGAGCACACATATTACTAAGATTTTTATGATTTCCTTTTGGTAATGACAGACAGAGGAAGTTCTGCAGAAAGTTACTCTGTCAGAAGGAAGAAAAACATGTGAGACTGTGGTATTTCAATCATTATATGCTTTGTCCATTGCAGTTTGACCTTCCAATCTGTAGACTTGACCAAAAAAGTACATACTATACATATTTCAAGACATCCATTATTACTGACTATTTAAAAGAATTATTTATGAATGAGATCCAAATTTTGTCTAAATATGTAGTTTGATAAAAGACATTACTTCAATAATAACTTACACAGTACTGATASATAAATGTTGGTTTAACACAATATCCCTCTATAATTCTTTTGCTTTGTTTCATACTTTCTGAGTTTTTGCTCAAAAATAAGTTGGAAGCAGTTTAATAAAGTCAGTAGAGTAGTTGCTGTGTTTCTCAATTTGTTAATTACTGTTTTGTTATTAGCAAATCATAAGGGTATAGTATGTCCCTTTCATTGTTAGGCATAGTAGAGCATTTTTGTAAAGGCTCTAGAGCATTTTTGTGAGCTTTGAAGAAAAAAACGAAAAAAAAAAGTCTTGGTCTGAATACATCTCACACATTATGATTCCTAATGTCAAACCATCTCCACTTTAAGGAGAGATTCAGGACAGGGGAAATTCTGTTCCACTACTGCAAGAGGGCGATGTGGTAAACAACAACATTCTGCTACAACAGAAAAGGGCCGGGAGGGGAGTCCCTGACTAAATATTAAATATTCCCATCCTCATATCATCCTCATAGACCTATCACAGTCATGCATGTTGACATGTGGCTGCCAACACAAACAACCCAGCAAACAAACTCGCTATGGTTTATTCATATGAGTATGGCCTTGGGAAGTTGCTTTTAACCAAAGAAATCAGCAGTGCTTAGATTTATGTAAGCAAGCCTGGGAGAGTAAATGAAGAAAAGTAGCATTACACTAGACTGAACTCTAAAGAGAGCTACAGACAAAATATTTAATCTAATAAACTTTCTTCTACAGATACAGCATTTGAGATATCTTTTCTAGAAGAAAAATCTGAGAACAGAAACAGTCTAAGCATATTTCAACATAAGTATTTTGATAAAATGATTATATTTTCCCTCTTTTCTATCAGCTAACTGGGCCCAAGAAAGAAATTGTTGGTACTTTTACAATAGTATAAAAGATGCTAAAACAGATACTCTTTTAATAAAACTAGTTAATGCAAGAGCAGTTATTAGGTCACAACCAGGCTAAACTTCTACACAGTTTAACTCCCTGTCTCAAGGTGTTAAATTTAATTACATCAAAGTAAAATCAAAAGGAATAAAAGAAAGGAAAAAAATAGATCTTTCTAGGAACATTTGATAAAACAATTTAAGGATCATTCAGTGTACAATTTAAAAAGGAAAAAGAGTTATGTTTCTATAATAAAAAATGATTTCCACTTAACACTCAATTACTGATATATATGACATCTTCTCTAAAACTAATTTTTAATCAAGATTTATGTTTCACAAAGTATATCTATTTATCCAATGTTTAATTTCTCATCTACTTACTCACAATTTATACTACTGTTTTCTCACTTTCATAATCCAATAATATATGGATTAATATAAATTCTGCAGCCCAAAGAAATTAAGAGATTATAAAAAAGAATGAAAATATAAATAGCTTAGTTCTACATGCAATTTCTGTACCCACTACTATGAGTGCAACTGAATTAATATGCTGCACTGACAGAAGAGTAACGAAACTCAGAAGTCCCAAGGGTTTTCCTTCCTGCAGGAGGATTTCTGTGATCCCAAGACTCATATTGAAATTGGGGGTTTATTAAGAGAAAGAGGTTGCATCCACCATAGTGCTCAAGAATATTACTGCTTACCTTGTGAATAACACCTTTACAGTCATGTGAGAGGGCAAGGTTGGAGAGCAGACCAAAGACCCCCAGCTGAATAGGGCTGCCATCAGTGGATACTGGCGTAGCCAATTTCATGATGTTGTGCATTAGTGAATTGCCAGCCCCACTCCGGAGAGACGGCAGCTGCTGCGCTTGCCCAGCGCTTGCCAAACAAAGCGAACTACAGCCTTAAAGAAAAGAAACCCCTATCACATACAAATTTCCCATACACCTTAAGAATGTGACAATTTAGAGGCATGGGAGATTATTGTTCTAAAATCTCAGAGCATATTTAACTTTCAAAGAGAAGTTGCTGCATTATTTCTGACTATTTTGTTAGGARTTGGAACATTTAGTCTAAGATACTACACGGTTATTTGGTATGAGAATTGGAAGTGACACACTGAAACTGGCCCAGAAAAGAAGTCCCTAAACTTCAATTTAAAACTGCATTCCCTTACTAGCAAGGAAAAATAAAAATGCAGCCTAGAGTCATACAACTGAGGAGTAAGAAGGACCATCAGAAATTTAGGCCCATTTCCTAATGTAATGCATTAGTCAACAACAACCGTTTCCTCAGTCCAAATTAAAGAATATGTTGTTCATGAAAAATAGCATCACAAGCTGTGATGGGGCCTGGAGAGATTAACTTAAAAAGAGTGTAGAAAAAGCTCACAGAGTCTTCAGCTAATATATTTTAACTCTGCTACCTCTTGAGAAATCAAGAGAAGCTTGACAAGGAGAAGTCAACAGATCTCTTCAAACCGCTGGAGAATCCAAATCTCAGTCAATAACCAGAATACAAAATAAGGAAAATTCATACTAGAAAAAGCTACAGTCTTTTAACAGTGGGGATTACTCATCAAAACAAAACAAATCAAAAGAAATAGAGGATTTACTCCAATCAGAAGAGAATGTTTATAGAAACTACTATAATCAATCCCAAGTTACTGAGCCCAATAACTGTGTGAATTTTAATAAAGGAATTAAACTAGATTGAATGTGTCAAAGACAGAATTATACCAATAAGGGCTAAAGTGTAAAATACTGATATAGGTTCTTTCTGATATAACTCCTGAGAGTGGTATCTTTGCAGTATACTGCTCAGTTTGGCAGGACTTCAGCATAACCTTTAGACATGGTTTGTATTAAATACTATTTAATCCTTTAATATAATTGTGTTTTTTGCTAAACCCAATTTAGCTATTAAAACTTTGAAAGAGGAACTGAGAAGTCCTGAACACATTAAACCCAAAACTCTCAGACTGTGATGGACCACTGCTTTTATCCTTTGTTCTTATAGTATTAATAAACATTTTTTTTTCATTATTATACTATTTCTATCCTCATTATTCTAGTTAAATATGTTTTGGTATAATATCATGAAGTGACTATCATACCTGCAGGATAGTCTGCAGTGTAGACACAAAGCAAGTGCAAAGCTGTTTGCATCGAGGAGTCATCCAGTAAAAACCATGGCCATAGTGACTGCAGGACAGGAACAAGATGAGCTTGGAGTGCTGCCATCTGCACGAGTATGAGGAACAATTTAGAGAACAATACAATTTAATAGTTTGGAAAAGACTTCATTATTTTAGAAAAAAATATATAACATTTGCTTTAGATATTTTTAATAAAGTAGGGAAGCATATTTTTATCTTATTTTCACATTTTGTCCCATTAGTTCTTTTAAATAGTTTTACAGAGAGCAGCAACACTCACTTGAGTGGTGAAGTAAATTCCCAATGACAACTGCTTAAAAATCAATCTTCAATTTTAAATATTGTAATTGAATTCTTTTCAAGGAATACCTTAAAATTACACTCAGTTATATGTATACCAATACTTTGCCATATGTATCTTGACATTAAAATGTTTTGTTAGAAACTTCTCATGTATATATTGATATTTTTCTCATATTTATTGATATTTTTATTTACTTTGTAATACACAGTTACTGACCATTCCTTGCTAGGAAGTAAACACACTGTACTGGAAAACCATACTTAATGTTATCCTAGGAGCATTCTAAAATGTTTTTATTATTGTGAGATGTACAAATAAAAACACTTATTCATTCCAACTGTGATTACGCAAGAGTTTSCCAGTCTAAAATTTTATCTTACTTAATTATACTAATTATTAGAACTCAAAAAGCAGAGACGTAGGAGAATAGATAGCAGAGCTCTATAGAGCAAAAAAAGCAAGACACTTCAGTTATCAACAGCAACCCTCCTTCCTTCCAACAACTGTATCTGTAGACCGTTGCTGAAGAATATTGAATAAAAAGTCAGCAATAATCTCATCTAGTTTCTGCCTCTGTGGTAGTGAAGCAGAGCTCTTGGTTCTACAAGACAGAGGTTCAATCATTGTAACCAAAACACTGAGATATGGAAACCTTAAGAATAACCCAATAKCTTATTCGGACCCATAATGTAAGTGCTGTTCTGAACACGCAAAAACAGTTTTTAAACAAATGCCCTCAAGAGCGGGATTCCTGAGAGGTCTGCAAATCTTCCACCAAATTCCACCAAGACCTTTGCTAAAAGCAGCAGAACTTGCATCACAAGGCTGACTTAGGAAAGAAAAAATGACCTGAAAATAAACACATCATTGACCAAGCTATTCCTTACTGTTCCTGAACAAAGCCATATAAAAAAATTAATAGGGATAAGAACTGAAATAGAAATACTGACAAGCATATAGAAATGATGATTCATGAAAAATGAAAAAAAAAAATGATTCTAAGCAAGAGAAATGATTATTTTACCAATTATTTTACCACTATTATTTTACCACTACTATTTTACAATTTAACTGAGAACTGTAGGAAAAGTAAATGGCAAATTAACACTCAAGGCTTTATAAGGAAAGGAAAGGTAAGGAAAATATATTTGAAATATCCCATTTTTATAACCTTTTTTTTTTTTTTTTTTTTTTTTTTAAGTCCTTACAGGCTTTCTGATTCTCCTTTCTTACAGCTCCACACCTTTCTTCAAATCCATTTTTCATGTTATCTACTTTGAAAATTGGATTGATTGATTTTTAACCAAGCAGAAACAGATATAAAGGATGACTGTCATCTGCAATCTTTGGGACACAATGTTTCATTATCAGCCTCGATTATCTAATGAATGTGTAAAATATTCCTACGGTAGAAATAATAATGAAACTTGAACTATTTCTTGCTATTAGTACCAAGTTTAAATCTAGTCAACTAGAAAATATTTTCRAAGTAAAATAAACTTATGATCTTTATTCACTAATGTGGTGACATAAATAATACTTACTTTGCATTCTTCATTTTCAAAGAGGCAGTTTCTGAGAAGCTGCATAGCACCCTGTAACTGCTTGATAAGGCCATCCTCCTATTTACATGAAAGTATTTGAAGATTATCAGCATAAAGACAGAACTAATTTTGTGCAATGGAGAAGAAAATGTCAAAGATCTCATCTTGGCTAGGATTCATCTTACCTAGCTTTAAACATTCAGACATGCATGTGCAGGGCAGACATTTACAGCAAGTTACTTGTGTCATCCTCATTTCTCTTCATAACTCACAGACAGTATTTCCAGGGGGTACAGGTCCAGCTAAATACAGGTATCTGTAAGGCAGAGCTCCATTTCCCTTACAACTAATGAAAGGGTAGAAGGAAACAATTCTGGGGTATGATTTATTCTGTTATAAAACAGACCTCTAAAACGAGCCAGATGAATCACTGCCTAAAAGCATCTATTTTTCTTCCTTGGATATAAAACAAGGATAAACTAGCTATATCTTGCAGATCTCTATATTTGGTCACACTAATCAATCCCTATCTTCTCTGTGTCTTACTTCCTTAACCTTAATATTGGAAATAGAAATAGTTTCAGCCTGATAAGAATATTGTGAAGATAAATACAGACCTTTTAAGAGGTAGGTGCTATACAGAGATTTAACTATGCAAGTAAACAACATATCTGTCTTCATGGCTGTGCTGTGACACTAAAGGACTCTCTCCAGCCAGGGCTGACCTCTAACTTTTAAGTGGCTGACATGGTAAAACAATTCTGAAAGACGATCGAGTTTCCATAAGCTCGTTCACCTCAGGAAGCTTTCTGCTTTTCTGATTTTTTAAAGCATGAAGGAACAGAGATGCAAGTAAAATAGTATTCAGGATTAATCTCCAATAAATGGAAGCAACAACACTTGCTTTAAATGATATCATGGGCTGCTGATGACTTAGTGATGAAGTAAAAGTTTCTCTTAAAAACAGCAATGATAAAGTCTAGTTAGTGGAAGAGCACCATGCAAGTCATCATTAAGGCTGCCTTCTATGATAGGTTTGACCCATTTTGAACCAAGCAAAATGCAAACATTAAACAGTTCCTTCAAGAATTTATATATGCATTATAAATAATATATTCAATTAATCAGATTACAATAAATTATTTAATGCCATTTGTTGGCATTAGTGTAATTAATTCATGAGAGGAAGGGAATCTCCAGGTAAAATGCTTCCATTTTTCCCTAGAATGAAGCTCAGTCAAATACATTATATCTCTCAGCAGTTAAAAGAAAAGGATTAGGAAAATGAGAAGAAAGTCTCGTTGCTGGGAAAGAAGGTCAAGACCCAGTGAACATAACACGGGGCAAGGGAGAAATTGAAGGTGGGGGACAGGCAAGTGGAGGAAAAGTTCTAAACTCACAGGTTCCTAAAGAGCCGCCAGTACCTGGGATCCCCTGTAGGGTGCCGCTTACTCTCACCCACGACGAAAAGCCAACAGTATTTGCCCTACTAAAAAGCCTGGACATGCCCTATTACAGATTTTATTGTTACCTTTTTCCTCTGCGTCTTCCCAGGTTTTAGGGAATCCAAATTCATCTGTGCATGAATACRTTTCATCTGTTCTATACAATTGTCTATTAGGTCAGCTGGAGGGGGAAGAAAAACAAAATCAGGWTCATGCAGCTTTCTTGAAATCACCTTGATTTGTGTTATCCTCTGAACTGAAATTTAAGGGTGACCAAATGATGATCAAATTCTCTAAATTCAAGAAATATAGCTATCTTTTTGGTTTCAGAAAGTAACTAACACACTTTCAAATGGACTGAATGTGACTGGATGATGGTAACTCCTCTTGCCACTGATTTCTGTGGGATAAACTCCCGAAGAGGGAAGAACTGATAAGATGTAGAGGAGATGATTTTTGATGATTTTTCTGACTATAATATCTCTAATTCTGCATTTCCATTGGCTGCAAAAACAAGGCAGACAGCTGTCAAAGATGGAAAGAGCTGCAGAAGCTGCAGAGAAAGACCTGCGGGGAAGAGGACAGCAAGTCATACTTTTCAACATCTTCAACAATGCTGCCTAGGAACTCAAAGGCTGAACCTCAAGAAGCTCGAGCAAATAAACACACATCTTACCCAAGTCTTCCCCCTACTCTTTGTAGATTTGGTACACCTGAGGTAGAGACAAAGGCAAGCAAACATGCAGGTGATTCAGAGCTTAAAGTACTAAGCGAGGCTCTTGTGACCTGGAGCCCTCGAGGGAAACCGTAGAATCACGAGATAAAACAAGCTGGACGAGATGACTTCCAGAGATCCAGCCTCCTGCTCAATGCAGTCACCTTTAATATCAAAGTTATTCAGGGCTTTATCTAGTTGGGTCTTGAAAACCAATAAGGACAAAGACTGGAAAATGTTTCTGGGCACCCTGTTCCACTATTTGACAGTTCTGATGACAAAAAAAAAAAAAAAAAAAAAAAAAAAAAACCCC